GGCTATTGATGCTGATCAAGAATATATATACTTTATGGGGTCGGAAACATTTCCTTCTGTGCGTTACACACATCCACTTTTACCACAAATCTAATATACCCCTTAACTCTTTTTTGAGTACGGGTATAAAAAGTTGCATATTTACGATGACCAGAAGACCTAAGGACCAGAAGCAAAATTTCCCTGGTCCGCCCTGGGCATCGAAAGCATCGCCTTGGCATGGGCTGGTGTACGGTGGTGTAGTCTGGTCTGGTTTCGGAGGAGAACGTTTGGGTGGGTCTTATTTAGTTAAAGACACTGACGAGTATACTCGTACCCACCCACGTTCGTAGTAACGAGTACACTCCCTCTCCCAATCCCACTCGCACTCGCACTACCTCTCCGACAAGACGGCAATAGAAGTTTTCAGATTTCTCATTTTGCTCAGAAAAAGTTGCTGGAAAGGACCAACTTGGCTTTGACTTTCGGTTTACGTACTGTGCCAAAAATAGTCGAAAAAGAAGGAAAATATTTTCAGTCAGCCAGAGAGACGTTTTAATTCAATTTAAAAAGAAAAAGAAAAAAAAGAAAAAAGAAACGACGCTGAGTGGTGGCGCCTAGCCGAAATCAGGTGGCAAAACTCAACAATTTTATAAATTTTATACAACTACATTGTACAACTGGAAAACGCGCATTTGATAGAAAATATTCTATTGTTAGTTTTATCCATTGTTTATATTATTCAATAAATAACGTTTCCTTTGCATATCCTGTTTAGAGATTGAATTAATTCAAATTCATTTAATCTCAAAGAATGTTGGGTAGACAACGTTAAGAGGAGGAAAAGATTGTTAATCATTTCTAAAGCGGTATTTTGTAAATCACAATCTACAAATGCATACTAATCGACAGCACATGCACAAATAAAGTGTTTTTTTTTTTGCGAAGCTTGTCCATTAAATTGGTTCAGTGAAAGTGAAAAAAGGTCATACTAAAGGAGCTACTAGTAATGTTACAAAATTTTTAATATCAATAACACAAGGGAACAAAGGTTTTGTTGATTTAGAACTGAATGTTGTTTTCAAGGTAATTGGAGACGCTGAATCCAACCCTGTACTTGGTTGTTTCCTATCAGTTCGAGTTTTCGCGATATTCCGTTTTATAAAAAATTATAAAAAACGATTAATACCTGCACTTAAAAACGCGATCTGAAGAAAAAAAATAGAGATCAGATTTGAAATCAGCGACCTCAAATTAGTAATACATTTCAATCAGTTTTCAATCAACACACTAAAAGTTCAATTTGGTTCCCTTGTGTAATCCATACATAATACTTTAATAGAGCATTAGTGTGTACATGGAAGGAATATAAATATTTTACATAAATATGTGAATATGTGAATTCAAAGCCAATCTCGTGTGATCCTGGGCTTATTCTTTTCAATAGAAACCTACTTTGATATTTCACAAATTAAATAATTCGATACGAAAATTCAATGGTTTACGAACTCGTAGGTGCGACGGTTACATTTATTGATCGTCGCTTTTCCCCCATTGAACTATCACCCAGTTCTGTACAAACTCACTCATTCATACCTGCCCTACACAATTTCTGATTTTCCCCCTTTAAAGTTTCACTTTCGCCCCGGGTCCTGCCACGCGTCCTTTTATGTGCTGGCTGGTGTGTGAAAGATACATACATACATATGTATGTATTATCGCCTAAGCGGAGAATGGAAAGCGAGGGAGACCTTATCGATGGGACACGAAGTGCGGGAGGCGGAGATGGAGACGGAGACGGGAGAGCTTTTCAAGTTGACAAGGACAAAACGCAGAGCAATTTAGATATTGATTTGGATAGTGTCTCGAAAATATGTTCTGCCTCTTATAGTAACAGCATCTCTAATAGCATCGCTCGGAAGGAGTCGACACACACACATATCAGATATCGGTGAGGGGAGGAGAGGCATCGATAAGTCAGTTGGTAATTGGCAATTATTCCTCGATTGATTCGCATTTGAGGCCGATGCAACAGTTCTGGGCGGGTGTTGCTGAATAAACTTGTTGGGGGACTTGTCCTTGGAAAGGAGAAGGAGAGCCGTCGACTTCCTTCACTGCAGAGGAACGCAGAATGGACTTTCCCTGTACAGTCTTATCGGCATATGGCAATCTTTGCTCCGAAGACAGATTAGTGTGGGTATCTGCCTCCCTCCAGTCACATCTCCCAGCTATCACTAGGAAGGCTGAGGCACTATTTGTGACACAATAATGTTGCCAGAACGCCTAGCCTTTGATCTGAAAAGTACATACATGCATACATAAATAAATATGTACATATATGTTTGTATCGCTCGCTCTCGTTGCCCCTGTCCCTATCGCTTCTGTTGTGACCAATTCGATGCATGGGCTTCTAGATTAATTTGAGAGCCTGATTAATTCGATAGCCGTTAAACGGTTTGCTTTAATCAACAACGAGCAAATAAAATAAAAATAATTGCAAACTGTTGATCATAAATTAATATGTTAAATGGGTAAAAATGGTTTTTTTTTTAAATGAAGAAAATGGGTCAACAAGGGATATTGATCAAGTGATTATTTGATTCACCATAGTTGTATTAAAACATCCGAACTCTTATTAAAAATTATCTAAAAATGTGCACAAGTATTTTCTAGGATACCAAAACAAAACATCAACATAGAAAATCTCTATTAACGATTTGTTGAACATACTTTACTCTGTCAGTAATTAACCGTATTAAACCAATTTTTTTTGCTGCGTTTACTCATACAATATACAAGTAGGAACCAATTATTCGCACTTTTTCACTAAAGATTGCCACGCTTAATTAGTTGACTTTTAGCGATACAAAAAATATGAAGGGCAGTCCGTAAAAATGTATAAAAATACTATAAAGGTGCTTTGGACTTTTCTTAATTTAAAGCAAAAGCCAATTTACACATTCTGAATAATAACAAAATAGTATTTGTGACAGAGAAAAAAGAACTCATGCCCATAGTGCACTGGCCTGTTCCTCTGTGCAATAAATAATTCGAAATGGACACACACATTTTTACACACTGACCGGGCAGTGGTGCTGGCAATGAAGCTATAAAGGGGCGTTGCCCGAAATAAATAATATTTATACAAATGAACATACATACATACATATATGTACATACATATGACTCTATAGGCCTCTTCTGAGGCCAACAAATTAAGAGTACCAGCACATTTCCCTATAATTCCATGCTGATATTAATTTCTAAGTATATTGAAAATTAACTAACTTAACCAAACTAAACTTTGACGTACATATGAACATATAACATTATTAACTTTTAAGTCTTATTGAAATCAGTGAAAATTAATTTTTCCTTTATTATAATTTCCCCTAAGAAAGAAAAGTTCTTCCAAAAAGACTCTTTTACACATTTAAAATTACATATGCTCAATCTAGGTTAACGGTATATTTTAAACTCGTATTATCCAAGAAATAAATTTCCCCTGCGAATATGCTTAACAATTAATTTATAGAAAATAATAAATACTTTTTGGTTAAATTCAAAACTATTTCTAAGAGCCATCAACGAACAACATGCTAAAATAGTCAAATTCATATAATGCCATATGTTTCCGCTGAATTTTTATTCCGTACGAACGCTGTGATTTTTTTAAATAACCTTAAAAGCGCAAAATTTAACAAAATTAACCTAAGCAACAATTCAAATTTTCAATTACAATTTCGCAGGCTCAAACTGCATTCTTCTGATAGATTGTGGCTCCAATTTTTTTTGTAAGAACTTTTGTTATTTTTATGCTTGCGGTTTTTTATTGGGAATTTAGAAAAAATGAATACCATTTGAGTACGCTATACCGTTTTTTTATTTTGAGAACTTTCAAATTTTGAAAAGCTAATGCATAATGTAACTATAAGCTATAAGCTTAAATTGAAGGTTTTTTGCGGCACTCTATAGTTTTTCAGAATTCAGAACTTATTTACGAGTTCACTATGTCAAAATTGTACATGTGTTTGTTCGGCGGGAAGTGGCGTATGTAGAAACAGGGAGGGAAGAGAATTCGATTGAAATAGAAAACTGATTACAATAAGAGCAGGGAAATATGCTGAACTATGTGAAAGTCTGCCACAGTCTCAGGCAAATCACATATGTACATATGTATGTATGTATGCTCCGACCTGAAAATATATTCAACAAAAAAAGCATAAGAGATGAAGTAGCAAATAAAAGAATGTCAGGATTGGGGGAGATGGAATGAAAAGGTATTCTGCGAATATTAGTGGAGAAGGGCGAAGGAGTAGATGGAAAATGGGGGTAAGCCAGTAGAATGAGAAATAAGAAAAGAACAGCGATAAAAGGCAAAAAAAGGGGGAGAGAAACCTGCCACAGGGACCAAAAGTGTGTGGTGTACTCGTATGTTGCGCATACGCTGTTGTTTACGCAATGTGCTCACTTCACGAGTCATCAAGAAATCGGAATCGGAAAATTGTGCCACTGCTGCCACTTGGGCGGTGTTGCTGAGTGGAAACCTTCGCCCGGATCCTTATACGCCTGTCACGTTTCTGTGCCTGCACCCTGGCAGTCCTCCCTTGGTTGCAGGGTGTCGTCCTAACTAATTTATATGTGCATATTAAATTATTCGAGCGCGGCACAAGTGTCGCGCCCGACATTATTTAATTCTCCGCCTGAATGACACCCGCACAGACACAGACACGGCGAACCATCTGTGTTAGATCTTTCAATCTGTTGTCATTAATTATTTAATTGACACTTTGCCAGTGGGAGGGAGTGGGAGTGGCAGTACCAGCAATTGGCTACCTGGGTCATTGACAGACGATGCGTCTCATGCGTCCACGAGGTATATGCGCTTTGTAGTGCAGGCTGCAACAGAATTAAATTTGATGCGTCGTTAAGCGCCACACACGGACACGATTATAAATATACCAAAACATATGCAAGTATAAATATATCTTTATAAATTTAAATTTTCAATTCATTGACAGAAACAATCTGAGGGCGATGCCTGCGCTGCCAGCACGGGTAAGAGATCAAAATTCTTGTTACGGAAACGCAAATCGAAGAAGACAGCTGTGGCAGCAGCAGCGACACCGGATGACGCCTTAAAATCGGCCGTAAATGGTGGAAAAAAGGGTGAGTTGGTACTGAGTTTGCTGCTGAAATATCCCAAAGCGGATTTGTTTTTTACCCCACGAGTATAACCCTTGGGGTCCGGCCAACGATTTCTTCTAGGGATGCATCTAGGGATGGCTGGTAATTGCGCCGTAGTCCCGTTCTGTTTGCAACTTGAGTTAGCTTTCTGTCCAGGCTATTGGGGTGCCATAGTACTCACATATTTGTATGTAGTTTGTTTGGGTAGTTGTGCTTTTTCTGCCAGTTCTCCACTGGCTGCTAAGTATGTATAAATCCGTGTGGCTGTTGTCTTTAAATACATACAATACCAAGTTGCCCGTGCATTTGGACTAGAAGCAGTTGTTTTATAGGAGGACCTTGTACTCCAGCTTAAGCGAATACCTTGGTTTGACCTTGGTTCGCCAGTCTGCGAGTTATTTGTTAAGGTTTTAAGGCCAAAGGTGTTGCTAATATATATGCTGAGTAGTGGACGCAAAGAGATGGGGCTAGTACGCTCTCCTGTGGGGCATATACGCGGCGTCTCACAACCCAAGTTCTGTTGAGGTAGGAGGTAGGACGCAAATAGCTTGTGCGTGCTTATGGCAAGTAGCAAAGATCAAATTTTAGAGAAAAGCTTTAGATACTATATACCTAGACAGAGAGCCAAGCAGTGTTCTCGCTTCTCGTACCATGTTTTTTTCGGATACCGAATCGGTGTGTTGGCACCACATACATACGAGTATATCCTTTCTCGTAAGATGAGGGACAATGCGCAGGTGGGGAGGAAAAGTTTCTGGTACCTATGATAGGCGCCAGCAGATCATAGCAGACTTAATGGTCTGTGTGATGATAGTTTAGTATGGTGTTTTCTGGCTTTAGTTGTACACTTTTTTGGCTAAGGCCCCAGTTTTGGAGCATACTGTAGCTACTGAGTGTTGGATATCTCCCTCATTATCGGGGCACCACCGTTGGTAAGCAGAGCTGGTAGAAGAGCACACCACAGCTACTGAATTGGCAGTTTCATAGAGGTCAGTAGAGTGCATCGGGTTTTGTTTGGTATCATTGAGAATGTGCGATACCATTCGACAATGCTCTTCCTTGTACATATATTTAAAATGTATAATGTATATATATGTATATGTATAATGTATATAATATATGCTAAAATATGAATGTGTATCACATTTATAATTACCATATTCAGATGATAGGAACTCCCTTATTTTACTCCCACATTGTACACAGATCTATGGCCTGTTTTCCAGTCACTTATGCCATGCTGATTGCCAACTGAAACCTTACACCCACTACTTGCCATTTAATCACTCTATCCACGCCCTTAAGTCGTGAATGTTTTATCTAATTCGCCTTCCCAAAGACTTCCCTAATATTTTTTTTAATATTTTTGTATCGCCTTCCAGCTGGGTCCGCAACGCAGCCATCAATTAAGTGCGTGCTCGTCGGAGACGGAGCTGTGGGCAAAACCAACTTGATATTGTCATATCTGGAGAACCGCTTCAATCCGGAGCACATACCAACGGCCTCTGATATTTATAATGGTAAGTTTAGCTCGTATTTCGAAGGTTTCAGGTCTCCAAGGGTAGGGGGCGCCGGTGTTGACTGCGCTTTTCAACAGGTTTATTCGCCCGCCCCACCCTTTTCGATTAGGGTGAGTCAAGGACCCGCTGACTGGCGAGGCGAGCGCCTGTCGCCCTGCCACTCGCCTTCCTGGGTTCGGATTGGTTTTAGTTTTGGGTTTGGGTTTTGGTTGGGCTGCCTGGCTGGTATATGAATTTTTTATTTTGTTGAAAACCAATTTGTGAACTCTTTACTGAGTTTTCCCCGTGTGAAAGAGATGTGCAGCATTCGCCCAGGGGGATGGAGTGAGAGTGGGAGCGGTAGCGGTAGCGGTAGCGGGGGAAAGGCACAGCTGCCGGAAACAGGCAAGAAGGATGTTCAGCTGCTTCTGGGTGTGGGTTTGGGTGTGGGCCAACATCCTCGAGAGCCATCTTTTGACTTTCACTGCTTCCGCATTGTGAGACTCTTTTTTATGCACATATGTATGAGGTACATACATATGTATGTACGGCTTTGTGTGTGCGTTATGCTATTCACTAATTTTAATGAACGGAAAATTGAAATTTGCGGCTATTCAACTGAAGGGCAGGCAAAATGTAAAAAGTTGACTTTGCTCTGCCTGGCAGATGCAGATGCAGATACAGATGTACCCGTATTCCCCTTCGGTCGATGTCGCTTTTGGGTAGCTGCAGTGCATTTGATTTAATTATGCTTCTCCACGAATGACATGACCCGTCCGCCCTGGCACTGGCTCTGACTCTGGCTCTTGTCTTTTCATCCCATCCCTTGGGTTTGATGCCATTAAAATGGTGCATTCATTTGCACTTCTTAACCTGTTTTTTTTTTTTTTTTTTGAAATTAATTTTAGGTCGTCTACTCATGTATAATGCCGCTTTCTTCATTCAGTCAAAATCTTTTTAAAGTTTAATTCATTGAGAATTTGAGAATTTTGCACATACTCGTAGTTAGGAAAAGAACTTGCCTGGTTCTCGGATAAAATGGCCAAGTGGAAAATGTGTCTGCTTTTATTGGAGCCTAATTGTCTAATTGAATAATATGGTGCCTCCTGCACCACATGGGATCAAAAATCCCATTCAACTAAACCCAGTGCCAGCCCCAGTCGCAGTCGCCCCCGGCACTTGGGCTTGGTTCTAGTAATGCCAGAATTGCTAAATTCTTTGTTTGTTTCTGCCTTTTTTTCTAAGAGCGAGGGCCAGGCAAAATGCCTGTATTTGAAAAATTGTATTTGGCCAAATGCCTGGGATGACATCTGCTGTCTCCATCCCTCCACTGAGCAGAGAAGAGCAGAGCAACGCCTGTCTTCTCCTGCCTTTTGTTGGGGATGAAATTACGCATACGCCGCGTGCTCCTGCTCCACTTTCCCTCCTCCTCGCTGCGACTCAGCCACTCAGCGGCAGCAATTGGGCTGCTGTTGCAAGCCGGGGCTAACAAGCTTTCAACTCAAGGTAACATTCCTTGAAATCCAGTGTGAATTTGAGAAAGAATGTGTGCTTCCGTTTCCTGTTCCCTTTCCTTTCCTTTCCTTTCCTTTCCCTTCTCTCCCTCAGTCATTTTTCTGAGAAGAAAAGAAATGCCATTTGGGCCGGGCCAGGCCAGGCCAGGCGCAAAGACTTCGGCATAGTTTGGCCATTGGATATACATATAAGTTTCGGCATGCTGCATGTAAGTAGACTTAGTAGTTCCATCTAATTAGGGGCAGAGTTGGTGTGGATGGAGCGGGGGGATGGAGAGGCGTATTGACTTGCAAATATTTGAATATGTTTAGCAAGTGAAAGGGGCAAAAATGGGGATGGATGCTTGAAAAGCCAGTCGTAGCCCGTAGTCCGTAGTCCGTAGTCCGTAGTCCGTAGTCCGTAGCCCGTAACCCATATATTTCAATTGTGAAGGGAAGAAAGAAAAGGCTGTCCGACTGACAGTCTGTTTGATAGAATTAGGTATGAATGGGAATGGGAATCATTTGGATCTGTGGAAAGACCCTCTGGGGCTAGCTGACTTTTTAGCCCCCAATTACACAGTTGCTCACTTTCCGTGCACACAATCACTCGCACACATGGATCCATGACATCCAAGGAACCGCTGGCGTTACTTATTCCTTTGTCCTGGCCTCCTCCATTGTCTCGCCAGCCACTTCCCCATTCCTTTCTCCTTTTCCTTGATCTTCTTACTCAGTTTTCTTTTCGTACCAATGCAGGGAGAGATTCCGCACTTTCCGCATTTATTTCTGATCAGTAATATGATCGTGGAGACAACGAGGAGGAGTACTAGTAGCATTTAATATTCCAGCCATTGCACGGTACAGAGAACAAGCTCAATGGTTTCCCATTGGCCTTACTCGTATTGCTGCTATGCTGCTATGCTGCCTTGTAGCCAGCAGGAATCTGCACTAAGTTCCGAATAGATGTAGATATTCAGCGGGCAGAGTTCGTAGTACCTACACTCGCTACTCGCCGCTCTGTTATCCCCTCTTTGTTTGTGATGGCCTTCGCGGAAAGCGATTTTCAGCTGAGATGGCAAACAGTTTTCCATTGTGGCAGTGCCTGAGTGGCTGGGTGCCTCGGTGCCTCGGTGCCTCAGTGCCTCTGTGAACGAGCGAGCAAGTGAGTGGCAAATGGGGGGAAACAGCATTCAATGCTTTGTGTGTGCTGTGAGGGTGTTCCGGCATTGATTTTCACTTTTACTTTTTCAAAAATATTTCTCCTCGCCAAGGGGTACTACGATTGGTGGTGGCAGGAGCTCAGCTACAACGTCGTACAAAGGAAGGAGAAGAGGGACAGCACAGCACCGCAGTTCAACAGCAACATCAACATAAAGTCAAGTCGGGCGGAATAGGATGGAATAGTGTGGGATGTGCTTGGTGGTGGGTGGGGGTCTACCGGGTCTACCCGAAATGTATTCATGAGTTTTATGCGGCGCACAAATTAAATTTATTTTACATGAGACCCAGCCCCATGGCTCTGGCGACCGTTGCTGCCTGGTGCTGCCTGATGTTTCGCCTGCTGCATGCAACATGAAGCATGCAGCATGCTGATTAAAAAATCACAGCACAAGCCAGGCACCGGCATCCAGCTTTGTTTACACAGAGCACGCAGTTGGAGGAGGTTGCAGCGACAGCGACAGCAGTGCCAGTGCCTGTGCCAGTGCCAGTCCCAGTGCTAGCAGCAGTTGCATTGAATAAAAGGCAGCCATGATTATCTTTTAGATAGGACGAGGTCAGATTTTGCCGTGGGCCAAAATAATCCGAAAACCTCCCATCCCCCCATCCCCCCATCCTCCCTTTCTCCATCCTACACCCTCCACTCTTCACTATCGCCACTCATCAAACAAATGTATGTACATACGAGTATGAACATATGTACCTTCCACTCGTTCAACTCATTTTCGCTACCGCTTAAATATGAATGTTCGTTCCACGGCTGAACGGCTGCAGGAAAGCGCCGAGCTCCACCAATTCGGTGGCCAGATTTCCATATGTATTTCCCACCTGCTTCTATGCCCAAACTCACTCCTACCGAGGGGTTGATAGGTCGCATTTTTAGAAAAAACAGTTGCCTCAACTCAATGGAATTAATGGCAGTCAGTTAGATCTGGGGGGTTTGCCTTAGTCAGACTCTGTTCAAAACTACGCAAACCACGAAGAAAAATATTCGGTGTTCCCGAAACACCGCAAAAGCAGCCCTTGAAATCTCTTGTTGATGTTTTAAAGTTCTGAAAATTTCCCGTTAAATTGATGTATGTATAATATACATTGTATATGCATATTTCTATAAAAAATCAGATGTATTTTTTTTTGTTTATTGACAATGATTCTTGAAAGCACCAATTAATAACCGGACTTCTTAGCAGCTATTAATATCAGAGCTCTGAAGTTGCTTGATGTATCTGTATCTGGAAGTTCCAGACGTGCGTTTTGCCTAAATGAACCATATTAATATCATCCAAAAACACGAGAACCGGGCTCTGCATGCCAGAAACCTTTGGGCAACAGACATGTGAATATATTCTTCGGAAATGTCCATAGCGCGGAATACGCGCCGATCATGTTGTCCGTCATGCACAACCTTCCGTCTGCTTCAATGGATTTCTAGTCCTATTTCCAGATTTGAAAATGGCAAAAGACAAGGTCGAACCAATGCAACCCAACTAACACAGGAACTTGGCCCAATATCCATTGATTTAGAAGTTTAAAATGTTCCTCAATTGTCGATGAAGAACTGAGTTTGCAAACCGAAAGGCTCTTGGGATAGTTGCACGCCATTTCCACTCCCCAACAGGTAGGCTAAAAGACTTATGTATGAATCAGTCTAACCATTGTAGAGTTGGAAAAATGTGAAACGAATGGAAGGAATGCCATGAAAAACTAAGTCAGTCGGCCTTGCAACTGGCGGCGCAAACACAATGGCTGGATCGTAAATAGACTTAGTGGGGATACCAGCTTATTTCATTTCGAATGTGCACCCCCATTCCTTGCACCTATTTTATGTGCAGGCTACTCATGCGAAAAACTGCCATCGGACATTGAATTGAGTCCCAAGAGAATTCCAGGAATTCTGAAAGGTAAAACCCCATAAAGATGTGGGAATAGCCAGGACAATATGGCTGTCGTTTGAAAAGTGATTGAGAGAATTCCTGAGCAAAGGAAATATATTTCTTGGCTGAGTCCATTGAAGTTAATAGCATAAAGCCAAAAGCAGTAGCCAACGTATTGATGAAACGGTAAATAAAAACATATCAATGTCGCTTAAATGTCTGCATACTACTCGTAGCAATTTGCTAGAATTGTTCACTTGGAGTAAGGTGAGCAGTATCTGTATCTCCCCTCGTAGGGCATGTTTGTGATATTTCCTTTTATTCAGATAGACCTCTGCCACAGTGACCTTTCTTTTGTTTCAATTCTGAGGGCAAAGCATTGAAGATGCATATTGAGACTCCCTATTAAGAATGGATGGTGTTGGAGAGTGCAGAGTGCAGAGTGCAGAGGGCACCATTACAGCTGACCTCTCGCTTTGTACCGAGAGAAGAGTGATTACAATTACAAGTTAAACTTCACTGCATACATATGTACATAATAGGATTTAGTTTTGTAATCTGATATATTTGTTAGTTCTGCGTTGGCCAAAAGCCGTTTGCTGAGGGGAGTGCAGAGGCTAGGAACGTGGAGCTGTCTGAGACACGGATACAGGAATTTGAACACAAATTAATTGTAAAATTGTTGGCATTTCCAACACTGATCTGTGTGTGTGTGTGTGTGTGTATTTGGGTTTAAGAACCACCTGGATGTGGTTGTGGGTGTGGACATCCGTCTGTCTACACTGGCATCCCAAAAATGTGCACTTGCGTGGAGGGACAAAGGATGGATAGGAGGGACAGCCTTGGCCGAGCATAAGCATTTTAAAATAAATTGAATTCCAGCAGCAAAATTCAATCGGAGCGTGCGGGGCAGCACGGGCAGCCTGTCTAGAAATTTACATATTTTGCAATTAAATTGAACCTGCAATGCGACCGAAACCGAAACCGAAACCGACACCGAAACCCAACCAAACCAAACGAACCCAAAGTGGGCTCACACACTGATTGATTCATTTGGCAAATATACAGGTAACAAAGCAGAAACAAGTACGAATGCTGTGGTCGACATTCCGACCATGAGAGTTCTGCTGCCTTGGCCCATTGTGGAATTTTTACTGCCAAAGAGATTTTTACGCCATGATATTTTGTGAATTAGTTGAAAATACATACATGTATGTGTATGTATATAAATGTACAATCAATTGAAAGAGGCGTTCCATCGCCCATCTCCTGACTCATTTCCCTGATCTGATCTGATCTGATATGATCTGATGCTGATACCTACTGATCAATATATGTAACTTAATACCTAAGCCCAACGAATACCAGATATTATGTAAGCATGAACACTTGTAATTCCCGCTCATTGTCTCCCTTTAGCCGATGTTAATGTGAACGAAAGTCCTGTGCATTTGACCCTCTGTGATACCGCCGGTCAGGACACGTTAGATCCGTTGCGCGAGCTCTGCTACCCGGACAGCGACGTCTTTCTGCTATGCTTTTCGGTAGTAAAGCCAGAAACTTTCCGTGCCATCAAATCGAAGTGGGCCCCGAAGTTCACCAAGGCCAAGGCGGCCTTGATTCTTGTGGGAACCCAAGCCGATCTACGCGGAAATCTGAATGTCTTGAACAAACTTCAGGTGAGTCGCACTGCATTTTTCTTTGGATTTCATTTAATTTTGTTACTCTGCGGAGCTGTCCGTGTTTCTGCTTCTATGTAGCCTTTTCAACATAATTTATCTGCCGTTTTTGCGATTCAAATATTTATGAAAATCTTATTTGATTTAATCTGCTCCCAGCTAACTTTATTTTGCTCATTCTCCTTTTTATTTCCGCTCTGCAGACAAACGGCGAGAAAGCAATTTCATATGCAGACGCCTGGGATTTGGCAACAACAATTGGCGCAAAATACATTGAGACATCGTCGGCTACACAGGTGAGTCCATCTCTCGCCATCTCCTGGGAAGCGGGCCACAGAAAAGGCAAAAGGAAAAAAATTAATTTCTCTGGTTCTGTTTTCCACAATGAATCCATTGGGGTTGCCTCGTTTAAGCACTTAAAAAATACGTCTTAATCAAATAGTCAAGTGTTTGGACATACATGCATACATACATATGGCACACACTCATACTAGGTAGTATCGGGGATGGATTTGCTTTGCCGTTACATGCTTAATCGGAAACTGCACAAACCACAAGACTGCAGAGTATCAGCTGAAAAAAAACCGCTTGATTCCATAGACGGAAAGGAGGCTGCACAATGCGAGATTCTCGGTGGTGTCATCTCTTTGAGTTGCCTTGTCATAGTCACCCACCCACTTGCACAAGAATGTACAATTGTGTGGTTTTCGGTGCAAGGAAAGAGCGGGCCAGAGAGCGGGGGAACGCTTCCTTCTGGTCGGGTACAAAAATATTGCGGTGACACCCTTGTTTGCCCCAACACTTCCGAATGAATGCCTTTGCCCACTGTCACTGCGGCCGCCGAACCTGTCAGCGGGGTATTGCACTCTTTGCATATTTCCCTAAAGGCAGCAAATCTTGCCTGCCCCCACTTCAGGTGACTGACTCTTCACCGGGCGCCACTCCAAAAGGTGACGAAGATGAATCGATGGCAACAAATTATAAGCGGTTGCTACCAGATGTTGATGTTGATGTTGATGATGATGATGATAATGATAATGAGGACAGCGACAATTTGTTTCGAAAGTGCTTTGACAGTTGACTGAAAGTAAGACGTTGGCTCGCATATGTATGTATGTATGTATGTGCGTACATACGCGCTTATAGATGGATCAAGTTGCAAGTGGCTCACCCGGCAGAGGCGTCTAATAACACCATGTAACAAACTGACGGACATTCCCTTATCGGGAACGAAACTGATGTTTGCTGATAAGTTTGTGGCTCCAAAAAATGTTAAATAAAATGAATTCGTTTTTAAACCCGTTATTCGAAGAGTTTCGAATATATATGTACGAGTATTAGTTAGTATATTAGTTGAATGGTGAATATGGAAATCTGTAAAATCCTGTGACATACATACATACTTACTCGTATATTCCAAAATTTCAATTTGGAAGCGTCCTTCCGCCCTATTGGGCTGCGTTCTGCGTAACAAGCCTCTCCCTGTTGTCACTTGGGACACTTGATTCTGCAGCAATTTGACGTCGACGTGCTAATAAACCGTCAGAGGGCGTGTACATTCGTACATAAGCCGGTTTCGAGCTGCAGTTCTGAAAGCTAGAAATACCAACTGGCAGCTCGAAAGTATTCGAATGCTTATTGGGAGTTAATAAGTCTCATAAATTGTCACAAAATCTCTAAATCATTGCCAGATATTTTATGATTTGCGTATTTATAATAAACTTGTATTTGTTCTCTTCCACAGGAAAAAGTCAAGGATGTGTTCGATACGGCCATTTGGGAGGGCCTTGTGCCTACCACGCTGCCGCCCACGCCTTCCTTCTGGCGGAAACTGTTCTGTTTGGCCTAAAACAAGAAGCTTAGCAATTAAATACATTATTTATATTTATCCGTTAGCACATAGGAGTACTACACACATAATAATAGGTTTTTATTACTAGCAGTGCATACATATGTACATACATGTATTTATGTATGTACGATTTTCGTTTAGCAGTGCTCTCAATATTTTGCATGCACACAGACTGATCTACAAATAAATAAAATACATTTTAAAAATAATAGAATGTCCAATGACATTTATAATAATAAAAATCGCTAGAGTTGGTCTCCGCCAAGTCATGGACTGCATATTTTTAAAGAGTCTTAACGGAATACCAATAATCAACTTAATAGATTTGTTATCATGTTTGAGTAGTCTTACCCTCCTTTTTTTCTTAACTATTATTTAAAGTTGTTAGTCTTTAAACTACTCGTATTTAAACTACTGCTTATATCATACACCATTCCATCCATTTAAGCATTCGAATTTTAAGGAAAATATTACAAATTTTGTATGCTGAAAGTCACATTAAAGGTGAAAAAAAAAAAAACAGAAGTCCTCAGAGCTCGTATTTTGTATTCAAAGTCCAGATCGGATGGGAATGGGAATTTAGGTTCTGTGCTCGGCTGATGCTATCTCGCAGTACCCGTAATTTGGTTGCCTAATGCCATAGGTGCCAGCAAAAATAATAATAAATACGAGAGTTCGTATGTACAGTGCGAGGACGGCAGGGGGGCAAACTGACGAGCGGCCCAAGAGCAAAATCAACAAAAACAACATTAGCGTTCAGGTAAAGTTTCGACTCTCGACTCTCCGCAAAGCAAACATAGCCACATCAAACACACACGCACACGCACATCACACTCACACTCACACTCACACATACAACAGCATCCGAAGGAAAAGTTGGAGGCAAACTGGCGGCATAACTTGTGAAGTTTTCATACCCAACACAAGCAGGGTGCGTGGTATATGGTGTACACTGTACTGCTATTCCCTCGGAGTACTGAAATCGACAAAATTGAATACATATGTACACATAGCGATACCTGAACTAATATATTCTTCAAAAACTGTATTCATAAATACATATGTACATGCCATATGTATGGATCTGTTCAGAACCATCGCATATGGTTCTTTTTTATTGGCTACAATAACTCAGGATTCATTTTATCACATCACATCGGACTAGACTGTGCTGCACCACATCAATCTTATCCATCTGATCCTATTTTGTGATCATCATTAAGCAGATAGCTGGAACATTAAACTACGTCGAGCGTTTGTGAGTGTATTTCTGGTGGCTTTCTCATGGCACTATTAGAAAGATGAGTTCCTTTAATTATGAAATACACTCCTAAAACAGATAAACAAATATCTGCGATTTTTAGCCTAAAAGAGAAATTTCAAGCTATTGCGGATTAGCTAGATTAGATGTCGCACAGCGGGGCCTCGCACAGTCGGCCCTCGCATGGCAACATAGACCGAATCTACGTCTAAATTCCTCGCTTATTCGCTGCCTCGCGCTTTCAGGGCGGCTAAGAATTCAGAAGAATTTTCTTCTACGCCCAAGACCAGTAAAACAAGCGACGACAACTTACACATAAGACCTAAGCTTACTGCACCGCAAAATTAAGAATAAGGAAAGCTGATGAAAGCATTTATCAGCGGGGCAATGTCCTCTGAGGTCCGGTTAGAGTTAGAGGCCCGAGAGAAGCAGAATATACTACCAGGGAGGCTGGATCGACATTCTTGAAAGCAACTCTGCTTTCGGGTTTTCGGGTAGTACCCTCCGGGTCGCTCTACCATTAAAAAAAAAACTTTTGTTTCCTCCTGACAGATGCAGTATGTACATGACCACTGTATGTAAATATGTATGTGTAGTCACACGCAGTCACAGCACTGCCAGAAGCAGCGCCGAATGCCCCAGGCGGTATGCAACAGTTTTTGGAGAGTCGGACATAGAACAGAAATTGGTATGACGGCCTTGCAGAGAAGATGCTTTTGTGTTTGGTTTATTAGACCAACAGGCAGGGAAAGCAGATGATATTCAAAAAATCATAATAAATCAATGGGGGAGTGGAGCCAGCAGCAGTGGGCGATATCATGTTGGGGCTGTCATGCTGGAATTTATAGCTACTTACAAGCACCCAACTTGGACATACGTGTAGGTGAGAGTGTGGGTGATTGTGTTCTGTGTAAGTGCGAGCTATGGCAATAAATAAACAATTTATTAGACAAATATTCTGGGGCCGGAAAAGGGAAGAAATTTCGTAGAAATTACACAGACCCAGCCTTCATTGCATAGCCCATAGATTGTAGTTGGCATATGAGCCTGCTAATGAGGTGATGCATATCTTTAAGGCCTCGTCTGCGTGGTGTGAAATGAGTTGGATCCTGCTTGTCTAAAGGTAGAGGTTGCAGGAGTTAACTGCGGAGAATATTAGAATATTATCAATATATGTATGCATGTCCCATATGAATGTACATATGAGCAAGCTGGATAAATTAAAAAAGGCCCCCCGCATTGCACAAAACGAAATTCAATTCAACTTTTGAAAGGAAAAATGTGGCATGCAACCTTCGACCGTAAAGCTGTTGAACGATTCCCCCTTTTTTGGAAACTCTATCGCTTTCCCTCACCGATTTTTTCGGTACGTGCCAATAAAGACTTGGCCGAGGCACGCGGCTGTTTATGTGGCTCATTCACGCGCAAAGAATGTGGACCACATCCGTATCTACGTGGGTGTGCGAATATGTACATGTGTGTGAATGTATAATTTACTCAGAAATAGATACAGATACACACGCTTAGTAGACACGCTACTTGAACCCTTGATTGGGCCTGGCGAGGGTCGCTGGGTCTCTTGGTCTCTTGGTCTCTTGGTCTCTCGGTCTTTCTGTCCTCCGGTCTCTGGTGCGCTCTTGCTTGTTTCAGCCATTGTTCGACTCCTAGCCGTTAGCAGAAAGCTCTTCCGAGGCTAAAACTTATAATCATGGCATCATCAACAAAATTATCGTTTTGCCACAGACAGCACATGTGGATGGGATGCGAAAGGTAGGGAGGGAAGCGGAGAGGCCAGGTCAAAGGTGTGCGATGTGAGGGAGGGGTGTGTACCCACATGTATGTATGTGTGTATGTACATATATACAACCACAGATACACTCACCATTTAAGAGCATAAAAGCGAAACGTGCTTGAAATGTGAATTACTCTCGCCCGTAAACTCTCTCTCGCACACGCACACAGCAAGCGAAACAAGGCAGAGAATACTCTTTTGTGTACATTTATACAACGCATTGTGCGGTCTTCAAGTAACGTAGTCTGTGTGTGCGCGCTTGACTGAGTGTTCGTGTGTGTGTGTGTGTGTGTGCCAGTTGATTCTTTGGTGCTCTTTGGCTCTATTTTGGCTCATAACTTTTACTATTTTTCGCGATCCAAAGAAAATGTACTCGACTTTCTGTTTTGTTTTGGGTGTTTTACTCTCCTCGTCTTTATTGACTAGAGCTTTACCATCTCAATGGGAGGGGGGTGGGTGGTAAGGAAGGCCATGCAACCTTCTATACCTTTTTCTTATATTTTTATCCACATATTGGTATGGCCGGGTTCACGTCTGTAGTTATATGAATGTTTAGAAGTTTGTATGTATTTTAGGCACCGGGAATATCAAAATCCGCACGGATGAATTTCCGTGAAAGGCACATAACAAATATACCGATATATTAGGAGGAAAGAGCACCTGAGGCACGGGCAGAGGTGGGTGCGACTACAACTACTCTATTTAGCTTCAGCTACGCCGAAAATTAGCCAACAAGCTAATTGCAATTTAACGAATTATTATTTGCCCACATTTCGACAAAAGCCGACATCAATTATAGCAGAACACGATCACCCCTTACATTTTCTTATTTATTGTACATATGTACGAGGAGACTCTTAAGAGGAACAAACATTTCTATTTGATCAACGTTAAAAATGTACAAATAGAACATGAAATATTCCAATAGCTTTGAAATAATGAGCCGAATCAGAGCCAGAGGTAATTTTATTCTTCATGCATTTATTCGATTATTCAAGCTCATTTATCTGTCACATCTGTATCTGTATCTGTCTTTATTGCCTCGACAGCCTTCCACCTCTGGTTCTGATTCCGATTCCAATTCCAATTCCAGTTTCCGTTCAAAATTGTTCCTGTTGGACTATGGTCCTATAAGCCCACTACTCGTTTAATGCTATTCCAAGCCCACTTCACCTTTCGTTCGGGGAATAAATCAATGAATCAACTCAAAATTGACTGCAAATTTATTCAGCGACTGGCCTCTGTTCCCGATCCCAATTTCATTGGCAGATGAATGCTACGGCAGATGACGAGTTAATCAATACGAGACCCCACATACCCTGGAACGGATGGCCGACTGAAGGGACTGACTGGAAGTGCATCCAACTTTGGACGGTAAATTGTATTTTAAATTTTTATTTTAAAAGCAGCATTACAGGTAAAGGTTGAAAATAGATTTCAATTAAAACTGTATGGTGAAAAAAATTGTAAACTTTTGGCATTTCTTAAGCTTTGACCAGCAGAACCCTGGGAATATTTAATAGCTTCAACGATGGAAACATATGCAAGAAATAATAGAGATTTGGATTTAAAATATTATTAATTTAATGTAGACTAACCTCCGCCTAAAGTAAAACAATATTAGCCCAAGAGCTTTCCGGAAGGCAGAGCCTGAGGTATTTTCAGTACAATCTACCCATTCCACATTGGGCCAGAAAGCCAAAATTTTGGCATAAATTCGAAAAATTAAGTTACAGAATTGAAACTAGGTACAGTTAATTCTAGTGATATGTATAAAAACTGAGATACATTTCAAACCGTTCCGACCACGCCCACTGCTACCGCCCATTTAAGGTGATGTTTTTACTAGTTGTTTTTGTTGAGTGATACATTATTATTTACGTGATTATTCTTGGGGCAAAAATACGTCTTCAGCTTGTAAAATATCAAGCTTGAGTTAATGCAAGCATTTGTATTGCTATCAATCCAAATATTGAGTAACGTTTCATAAAAAAGTTCAACATAACCTACAAGATGAAAATACCCGTTAAAGTATTACGGTCGCACACGTTCGCAAATAATTTAATAGACATTAGTAAATATACACTTTCTACTTTAATTTGATTTGGTTCGATTTTGCCGCTAGCTGCCGCGGTATTAGTTGTTAGCCACAATAGACAGGAAAGTTGGTTAAGTTTTGTCTAATTTTCGAAGGCCCAAATTAATACGCAATCAAACTAATACATATGAACAAAATCTTTTTTTATAAACAAATTTTACATGCCCCGGCCTTTCTGGTCCTTCTGGTTCTTAAAATTTAAAAAAATTACAAGCTCACAAAGTCAAGAAAGAGATTCACGCTTTTCGTATACCAACTCGTAATTAACTGAGCATCTGACTTTGATGGGCTGCAAAAAACTCAGTGCAGCATTAAAATCAAAAGTATGCATCCATTTTTTCTAGAAAAGGTACTATGAACGCACTATG